TAGTTACTGAAGCGGTTTAGTGTCTGCAGAGCTTTCTTATACACATCTCTATGTTTTAAGTTCTCTGGATAAACGTTCTCTGTCTATACTTTACGTTCTTTGGCTGAGAGCGCTTAAACATTTTTAAAGCTGCGCAGTCACATTATTGCTGTTACTATCACTGTTGATTAACATTTTCTGTTAGACAATCGTGCTTATATCGTCCATTAACACTTCTAACTACTTGCCTACAGGACAAAACTGTAGTGACTATGATATTAGGAAACCAGAAAAAAGTAATAAAGGGCTATGTTCGGGACTTTTGCAACACGCTGTAATCAAAGCCAGGGAAATAGCTTAAGGTGTAAAATGTCAACCAGAGGATCGGAATCAAACCAATTTTATACACACATATAGTATACATACAAACGAAAATCATTATATTTAACATATGGGAGTTGGGGTAGTATCGACCCGATTTTATCCATTAACTATTATCATGCCACATACTAAAGAAAATATTGCCTTGGTTTCGTGCCGGTTCGATTCGCTTACTTTCTCTGTGATTATAAAAATAAAAAACTATTACTTTGAAAAGCATAAACTAATGAAATAAATACACAGAGTACTTATGAACACATGTTTATAAATATTTTAGAAATAAAAGTTGAAGCCCTTTTGAAGAACATATGTTATACATATACATTTTTTTTGCATCAAGCTACGTAACAAGCGTTATTCGATGCCGCGCTATCTGTGCCGGTGCCTTGTATGCAAGCCTCAGCTGTCTCGTCAAAGTAGTAACCGACAGCGCAGGTGTTAACTGATTTTTTAACGCCATTTTCGCATACCAAATATTTGCGACATGTTGTGTCGACAGCGTTGACAAACTGGCTCTTAGAAAATTGGCATCGATCGCAGTCGTATGTTTTAGCATTGCTACGTAGTACACATGTTTTTGTTGTAATGTCGTAGTAATAATTAGTACTGCACGAATAACTCTTCCACACACTGTTTTCACATTTTAAATAGTCGCTGCATATACTAGAAGCTTTTATATTCCCTTCTGTGGTGCAGGTGCCGAAAGATTCTACATCAGGTTGAATGGTGATTCCAGTAACTTGGGCACACTCATAATCGGCCTCAAGCACACATGAACCTGTTTTGACGTCGTATGCCTTGGAGTAGTGTAAGAAAAAGGCTTATTTATAACTTGAATGGCATACATGTGTGCAAGCACTACTTACCAATTCATCTTTACAAAAGCCTGTGATCAATTTATTATTTCTACACACTTGCCATTTTCCACATTGTTTTGTGCTACCAAAGTATTTGTTGTTTTTCATAATTTGGCAAATAGTTGTAAAGTTGGAAGTAAGAGCCGTGGCAACAGTGGAACATGAGCCAAATTTGCATACGCCGTTGCTGAAAATTAAATTGTTAGCGCAACTTCCACTTCCGGCCTCTTTGCCGTTTTTGCAGTAAATCCAGCCATTGCATGTACCAGATTTTCGTACAAAAGTTCCATCCGCTCCAGTGCAAGGATTACTCAGGTTAAGAGTACATTGAAATTCACTCTCAGCGACGCAGTCTTGCACATCTTTGCTGAAACTACTGCCGCTGGGACAATCGTAAGGCGTAGCTACGCCATTGTTGCATGTGTAGTAGCGCTGACAAGAGTCGATACTGCCAATCCGTAAGCCATCGGTGACCACTGTACACACGCCGTTCACATTGTATTCGGCGGATATAGAATTGGCCAACGCCAAAATGAGCCAACTCACTATAAATTGTTTCTCTGTAAAGAGGGGTGATTGTTAAAATAATTATTAGTTGTTTTAATCAAGTATGGTCTTACAAATGGTATACACATATGTATGTGGATATCCTTTAAAGGCTTGTACAATTAAAAACATATACACTTATTGCTTTCTATTAAATTTATCTTTTTAACATATGTAAGTATGTCCTCATTATAAATTATTGCTTACCTAACATTTTTCGTATTCAATCAATGGTGGTGTGAAAATTTTCAAGTATTTTAGTACACTGACTGGTAATGAAACATGCTGACCGTTTTTATAGTACGGATAGCGGTGATTCAATATTTAGCTTCTGGCTCTAGATTAGATCAAATAACGGAGTGAAAATTTTTAATTAATTTATTTTTTCTTCTCGGTTATTGAAGAAGCGACTGAAGTGATAAGGAATTCTCACACTAAGCAATAATTACGAGTTTTGCCTGCTTTCTGTTTATCTTCTAAACAGTGGTTACGAAATTGAAGTGTCTTAAAAAGCAAGTGATTCACATATTTTTAATTAAAACAAATATTCGCCATTAAATTAATTAATAACGTCATTAGCGATGGACTTATTTCCAATATAGATGCTTAGCTTATTCTTCCTATAAAAGAATAAAAAATAACAAAAATGATTGTATTAAGCAAATACTTCAAATTTAAATCCATAGTAATGCACTTTGTATAAACTTTGAAATATTTGAATCGCATTGTCCAGAAAAGTGACAGCACCAAGTCAACTATCGGTTATTAAAGATTACTGTAAGAGTTTTTATGAGCTTCTTAAAGCCGAATTCAAAAAACGACCCCAAACTTTAGCCCATATATCTAATACGTTACTTATAGTGAGATCAAAGATTAAATTCCTGAAACAGCCATTTAAAATGTTTGTTACAGCTTCGAGTTGATGACAAATATCAGAAACTATAACTGCTGTTTTAAGTAGTCGTACAATTTAAATACGGTGGTAGTACCATAAAACATAAATGAAAGTTTCAATAATATTTTCTAACAAAATAATTAACTGTTTTAATATAAATGGGCACTTGAATTAAACATCCGTTATTAAGCATATTTCTGAATTTTATTATAAGTTCTGAATAATATTACAAATAATTACAATGTGTATTTGATTGTTATTTTTATTTTGTTTGTTTAGTTTATTCTATCCAGATACATATATCGATTGTATTTTTCCATTCAATTTATGCTAGAGGTTTTAAGATCGAAGGCTCTTCCTTACTAATAATAGATTGCATTTCTCAATATAAGGTAGTTTTGCGATTTATTTTGCTACAGTGGTAGCGGTATCAGTTTCGGTAGCATTTGCACAGCATTTAAAATCTGGGCTTACTGATACGCAACCGCCCATCTTTTCATTGAAGTAACCGCTGTTTGGGCATGGCTCTGAGTCCTTTTCGACACCATTTGAACAGTACAAGTAATTATGACAATCGGTACCGAATGCATTTGCAAATGTGCCAGTGGTTCCTAAGCAACGATCACAATCATTATAAGCATCAACACGGTTTACACAAGTTTCAGTATCTGTATCGTAGTATAAGCTGCCAGCGCACTTCGTCAGTTGGTATTTTGTACCATCGCATTCGTAATATTGATTGCATGCGACAGCCTTTTTTTTGGTTCCCTTAATTACATATGCACATAAGTATATTAATTGTTCTTATCAACATAATATAAATAAACTACATATTTACTTACTTTGGTTGTGCATGCACCACCACCACCATTTGCTGTCACATCTAACTCCGGGTCGTTAGTTACCTGTATTTAATTTAAACATGTTATAAAAAATGAAGTCCTAGTGGTAATTGTTAGATGTCTACAAATTGAATATACCTGTGAGCAATCAACGTTTGAAGCATAATCGCACATCTGTTTCGCTGTATTGTAAAGCAAATTATTTTTACAAATTCCATATTCGAACTTGGTGTCGCTAGTACATTTTAACCATCCTGAACAATTAAAAGCATTACCAAAATAAACTCCTACTTGTACATACGAACACAAATTGATCGGTGTGTCTGCATCAGTATTCTCAGTACTAGTTGTCTGGCAGTTTACCTCGGAAGGGTAGTTACAAGTTTGGTTCTCCTCGTCAAAATATAGACCGTTAGGGCAATTACCGACTTCTGCGCCTGTGCTTGAGCAGTAATAATAGTCTTCACAAGAATCAGGCTTAGCAACAAAAGATCCTACGGCATGTCCGCTACAGGGAGACGAAGAAGATGAGGTACAATACGAGGGAGCTACACCAACGCAACTTTGTGAATTCTTATCGAAATAGGTGCCAGCGGCACAGCTTTGAGCGGTAGCGTTTCCATTGGAGCAAGAATAATACTGTGAACAAGAATCGCCACTGGCAATCAGGGCACCATTCTTCAGCAGTAAACAGATGTTGTCCATATCTACGGCGGCGTTGGTCATGGAACTGCAGAGCAGTATAATTCCCAACGCATAGTGAATAGGAGAACCAGCTTTAAAGAGGAATTGAAATTACTTTTATTGTAAATGCCTGTGTAAATATGGTTAAAACGTAAATACCAAATTTTATATGTTTCACTTACTAAGCATTTTCGGATATCGTTTTAATATTAAGTAACTATTTTAATTGAATTAGGCAGACACGAGTGTGTTTCTTGAACTGTGTTAAGCCAATTTGGAGCATCATGTATTTATACTCAATAATGTTGTCGCTGAATTTTCGGTTTCTGATAATTTTTGACATTTCAACAAGACATGTTTGTGATATATTTAATTGATCACTTTTTATGCAAAAAGGAAATGTTGATAATTTCACTTCGCGGCATTAGCGTAGCCTTAGGCCCATTTGTCACTGGCTGTCAACTTCAAGAGGAGGAAAAGTTAAATCCACAATACCAATTCAAGGTGTTGGTATTCCATTAATAATTTGAAATGTTCACTAGATGCCTATCTAGCTTATGATAGAGTATTTACTAAGCCCTATGACTAAATGATAATACCCCTATATGTAATTACATTGTACGTAGTTATGATCAAATTACATATTTTTACTGAAATATACTATAAATCATATTGGCATAAGTGGATATATATATACAAATGTATCTACAAATGTTTTTTGGATATATTCACCCTGACGTCCGTGTAGTTTTAATAATTAAATAAAAAATTATATATTATTTGCTAATTTAAGAAGTAAAATTCAATCTATACCATTTATTGCACCAATTACCAATTTTTTTTTAAATTATTTTCAGTAAAATTGTAAACACAACAATAATATGTGCATTATATATAAGTAATGATGAAATGGAGGACAATAAGTGATTCTGTTTCGGTATATACAAACGAATATCAAGTTAGTTGTGGGAGCATGAACAGGATCACTAGACGAATTAATGTATTGATGAATAGAAGCATAGAAATTAAGACTTCCTGGTTTTTAAAGTGGGTAGTCCCACCCTCGAAAATGTTTAATCTATTAATCTCCTGAACAATTAAATTTATAAAATAATAAGTAAAGTGGAGCATTCATTTTGTCATAGCGTTAACATGAATTATACTCGAATTGCATGAAATGTATTTGTTTTTTGTATGCGTATACATGCACAATTATTTGTAGACACATAAAGTAAAAGTGAAACCCCGAAGATAAATCGTAAGCATATAGTTAGCCTCAACAGAGGCCAGGTGTGAGGACAGAGAATCGCGTATTCTTATCAAACAGTTTCCGAAAGATATCCGAAGTTTGTTGCTTGTTATGATTTTGATATTTCTACTCAGTCAAACTGGTACAATCCACGCTAATTAAGCCCATGGTGGCAGCATTCTAAAAGCATGACTAAAGTTACCAAAATGTAGAAGTATACACTCCACGCATTTACTAGACGGAGGGTCACACCTTTAATCTTTTGAGAAATATATTTCATGTAAAATTGTATTATATATTATATTAATGTTTTTTAACATTCTAATTCGCAAAATGCGTAATAAAAGATAACTTCTTATTCTTATGTGTGCATCCGGTTGTTTTTCAGCGAATAACAAATAAGTTCTAATTCTGGTGTTATTTTATTAATCTGTAGCTAATGAAATGTCTTAATGAATTGTTTGCTCCGAGGGGTATACTCTAAGAGGTGGCGTTGAATACAGAAGGAAGGACGACCAATGAAACTAATACATTTCACTGCTTTGTTAATTTCTTTGTCTCGGTTTTGTGTTATTATCTACCTTGATAAGTCTTTATCAAATAATATGATAAGGGAGCCACAGTCAAAAGCCGAATCATCTAAGCTTTGTTCTTAATTTAGTTAATTAACAATATAATAAATGACACAGTGGAACAAACTGACCACACCAATTTGGGGATAACTTGTAAAATAAAGAAACGAGAGAAACTCTTTCAGCTTGTCTTTATTGAAAAACTAAAATTAATTGAAAAAATTTTTAATTTTCACCCCATTTTTCTCTAAATTTATTATAAGAAACGTTAATATAATGTTATATGTGACAGTTTAATCATCAATCTTCACCACGACAATACGAGCACTCACCCATCAACTGAAACAACTGCATTTTCGGGCATTCAAAACATCGATTTGATGAGTCATCCACGCTTAGTCCGGACTTGGCACCGAATGTCAGCGTTTTATTTCCGTACGTAAAAAATAAACTAGGATGACAACGTTTTTCGACACGTGAAGAGACGGTTGTTCTTGTTGAACATCCCCTTTTAATTCAAGCTGAATTGTACCACTGTGTTAAGTATTAATGAAACGACGATTGTATTTACATGCAATACATTAGTTAAAACAATTATCAATGAAGTTATTTCGAGTTGATCTAGTAGAAATCTTTAGGGCCGATATAGCGTTCATATACACTAGCATAAGCAGCTCAACCAAACAGAAATGGAATTATGACATAATTGTATGTTAAATGCTTAATGCCATTATGAAACTTGTGATTTATGGCGTTTAACCTACTTAACTTTATAGAGTAATATTTATTTATAATAATTACCTAAGTATTTAAGTTTTTTTGATTTAATGCTTTGATTTGAAAATTCCTTGCAATTAGAGTTCATAGAATTACAAAAGCTCGTGTATAAGAATTAGTTCGTTCAGTATTTAAGAACATCGCACACAGACGGTTTCCCATTGATAATAGCCTAAGAAAACATTTAAATATTTTGTGTTTATTATTTACAAACAACGTCGAAAGAATGCGTAAGTGTTCCTAAATTACGTTTTCAAATTAATAATTTACTGTTTTTCGGTTTTTATTCTAAAAATAGTGGACAAAGAGATATGTTTAATGTTGTTGCTTTCCGTCGCCGTGAATGCTAGCTTCGATCCGGATGAAATTTGTGGATTACTTTCGAACGGTACACGTATCAAAGATCCTCGCGCCTGTAATGCATGGATAACATGTATTGATGGAGTACCTTACGCTGGCACCTGTCCAGATGATCACTTTTACGATCGTAACACATATTCTTGTGTCAATTCGACCAGTATAAAGTGCATTTCAAGTAATCCATGTGCGACTTTGACTGATGAAACCGGTTTTGCAGCTGATCCTTATACTTGCGATGGCTATTATTATTGCAATAATGGCACAGCAGCACACGGCGTATGCCAAACGGGTTATAATTTCAATCCTGGAACGAATGACTGTATTCGAGGTTATGCCTGCGCAATAACAATGAGCCCGGATAGTTATTGCAACATTCTGCCCGACGGCGTGTTTATCAAGGATCCAAACAATTGTGTGGGTTATCAGCTATGCTGGAATGCTCAAGTATTAAGTCGCGAATGTCCAGATGGATATTACTATAACGCGTTAATGGCTGACTGTGATTATTCATCCAATGTGAACTGTACCGAAACATCAACCACTTTACCAGATTTAGTGGCTTCTGAGTTGTGCAATCAGACTGGCATATTTGTATCAGATCAGTCTAGTTGCAATGGTTATTACTACTGCRGTACGGGAATGGTGAACGGCAAGTCTGGTATAGTGTTACAGCATGGCATTTGTCCAAACGGAAGATTCTTTGATGAATCAAACGGTGGTGAATGTGTACCACGTACTAATATCGCATGCAACTATAATAATTGTGTTGGTTTGGCTAGTAATAAAATCGCGTTGGTTAATGTAGTAAATGACGGGTGCCATGGATACACAATTTGTCAAGGTGGCGTGTCCATCGGCAATGGCACTTGCCCTAACAGTGGCTACTTCGATGAGCTTAACCAGTCTTGTACAAATGAGACTATCAGCTTCGCAGCATGTGCCACTTCATAGTCCACAAATGTAATTTTTTAATATAAGTATTTATTTCAACATAATAGTTAATATTTTTATATATAAATGGCTAACATTCTCGTGTGAATAACCTTTTTTGATGACTGGCTCGCAGCCTAACTTCTGCTCACATACATTAATGAATTATTATTAATGTATTCCAATCTATGTGTCATAACTATACTATACTTAATCAACTTATTTAGAGATAAAATGATTGCGAAGCATCAATGATAATAAATCGAAGCAAAACGAGTGCGTTTTTAAGTGATAACTGAATTTATTGAAATGTAGTAAACATATTTTTTTTAGGAAATTAATTATTTATTGTTGCTTTTTTAAGTTATAATTTATTATCATAACGCGATGGTAGAAACTGGGAATAAGTATTGATTAGATAATTAGTTCTTGGAATACGTAAAGGTATATAAATAAAATGAAGAATTATAGAACTCTRGCCGACTTGACTGACTAATGCAAGTGCAATGTGAACACTGGAATTAACTGAAGCAATTTTGTTGTGTACGAAGTTATTATTATAATATATACAAAGTTTTACGTTATTTTACTACGAACAAATTTTAGTTGAATTAAACTAACGAGACTTTCGAGAATTTCAACAGTTAGCACCTTCAGAACTAGTGAAAGGCAGACCTTGTATGTCATTAGATCAATGATGAGCTTAATAAAGAAATTACATATAGCAAATATACAAAAAAAAGAAAGATATAATCTTTTATAACCATTTGTTGGTATATTTGCTTATACAAAAACATAATGAGTTGTAGTTGTTATTTATAATTTAAGCTGATTGATAATTTTAGGCCGAACAAGCTATATAGCTGATGTTATGTGGTGTGCATCCTTGGGTACGTTCATCGAAGAAATAGTTTGTGTCACATTTACCACTGGCGATGGTTACGCCATTTTTACAGCGAGCATATGCGCTACAGTCCCCAGCCACATTGACATATTTGTTATCCATTCCCTCGCAACGGTCTAAAGCGCATTTGACATTCAGACGGTCACGACATGACCAAGTTGCGCTATCAAAAAAGTATCCTTCTTGACACTTTAAATGCATAGGTTTGCGATCAGGTTTTCCATCCTTCTGCTTGGCACATATATAATATGCGCTACATGATTGATCGTCGGCAATATAGCCCTCTCGTACAAGGCCCTCCGTGCCGCAAATTTCGATTTCAGTTTCGAGTTCAGGTGCTAAAGGATGGCAAACTGCCTCCTTGCGAGCTACGCACTTCAATGTCGTATAATTAAATGCTTGACCTTCTGCACACTGCAAAGAACTTAGTTTGCCGTCTTGCGCACATTGCTGATATTTTGTACAATCGGTGATGTCGGCGAATACTGTTTCACCAGGTATCGAATTACAAATTGGGCTTGCAGTTAAGTTTTCAACTTGTTTAGGGCATTGATATTCATTTGAATACACACAAGAACCTTTTTTGGGATGGAATACTAAATCTTTGGGACAATTTGAATAGGCTTCCTGACCATCCATACAGTAGATGTAACTGTTGCAATTTTTGGGATCTGCCAAGAAAGTGCCATCTTTCATTGAAGCACACTGGTTAACATCATTGTTTCCGGTATTCTCGAAGGGACATATTACGTCTTCTGACGCTTCACAACGACTCAGATCTTTGTTAAAATATAAGCCAAACGCACAGTAACCTTCATCATAGTCTTGACCACTAAGTGTGGATGGACACTGAACCCAATTGTCGCAAGAATTTGGACGCAAAATAAAGATGTTTGGTGGCATCTGTTTACAAATGTCCTCAACCGTTAACGCTTCCATTTCAGATTTCACTGCAGTAATGGCAACCGCGGCCAATAAGGTAAAAGTTGTTTCTGAAGTAAAATTATATTAAATGTAACGATATAATTACTATTCAGATTAGATCATATATTGCATTACTTACTCATGCACATCTTTGGAAGGAACATCTGTCAGTTGTCTAGCAAAATTGTATTCTCTGGAGATTTTGAGTTATTTGTTATTTCAAGTGCGATTTTGTTAGACAATTGATTTGCATAACAGAAACTTCACTGGCGATAATTTCGATTTGCAGCGTCTCTTTTATATCCAACAATTTACATTTGCATTTTATCATTGCTAAAGATCTATGATTGTCATTACTATTACGCTCTTTCCATATTTTTGATCTTAGATAATGAGAGAAACAAAAGCAATCGTCGAAAAGTGATTAAACGAGAGAAGCAATCGAAATATCTTGATAAGATACCTTTTTGCTAAGTACATGTACTTCTCTGGTGAATATGTGATGAAGGCCTTACAATCTTTACAGTCAATGAACATTTGTAATTTAGTTAAATTATCATAAATTTTGTAAAATTACGAACATAGCATATTATCATATGATCTAATATCAGCACCAACAGTATTTCAGGACAAAAAATCGAATATGCTACAATTGAAATTTCAATCTCTCAAATATTTCAGAAGTGTTTTGTGACTTCAGTTCATTTTGTGTATGTTTTTGTTTTTTTATACAAGTATATGGTATGTGCATAASTAAAAATTTAGGTAGGCTTTCCAAATATGTCATTAGCTTATTAGAGCCTTAATGCCGTCATTTTGACCAACGCTTGTGTAAGTACTTAGCTATTTTATTGATTAAATTGGAATGTAAAATCGGTAGCCGTAGATAAATTTAAGATAAAATTTTGAGGAGACAGTTTAAGAATCCAAAGAAAATATTATTATTTTTATTATTACAAATTTATTAGCAGCTTAAGGGACGGAAATCATTTCATTTGGTGCATAAAGATTTGATTTTCAAAATAAGATTATGATATTTTGGGAAAGACGCATATTAGGTTTTGTTCTCATAACTTCCCATTAGTCAAATTTATGAAGCTACATCAAAAATTAATGTATTTGTGGTCTGAGTATGAATTTTTTATGCAATTGCATCGACATAATAAGAAGTTTATGTTGGTGGCTTGTGAGCTATAAGATTTCCTTTAAAGATTGGCGGCTGGCTTTTGGTGAGGTTAGGATAAGAGGTCGATCGTGAGAGAAATCTTAATTGAACTGCTTAGAATGTCGGTCCGTTGTGGTACTTAAAGAAAATAATATAAAATTACAAATCGACTAAGTGCTTTGAGCCTGTCACAAATTTGATGTCTTCTAGAAGGTCGAAGGTAAGACTATCTAGATGTTTCAACCTCAGTTTTGCAAAGGCTGGACAATGGGGGAGAAAGAAGCTAATGCCTAATTGGTTTTTTTTACGTCTATCAAACATTGCACGGAGTGAACAGAAGGAAGAAAAATAAATTTAAGTAATGTTCGCTAAAAGCACCCAACATATGTCTGAATTGTTAATTTTAAATTCGATATCTCATACAATAAGATAAATTTATGTTAACTGTCTGTTGTTGCTYACTTTCCTCAAGTACTTCAGCTGATTTTCAAGAGCATCAGCTGCTTTCAATTAAGACCATCGCCATTATAACAGCTATTTATTTCAGTGTTTAGTAATTTACTCCAACATAATATTGGGTTATTCAAATCTATGATATCTATAATATCTATTATATCTACTTACTTTCCAAAAGGTTTAAAAATAAACAAAATAATCAAGTTTTCTGTATAAAGTTTATTGGCACTGTATTACTTTTACTGGACTTATGGCATACAGGCTGCATAAGTAATAGTTTCTTGAGTGCAAACCTGTGAGCGTTCATCGAAAAAAAATCCGGTTTTGCATTTACCATTATTCACTGTAACGCCATTTTTACAATGTGCATAGGACGCACAATCGTCGATAACATTGACGTATTTGTTACCCATTCCTTCACAACGGTCCAAGTAGCACTTAACATTCACACGATTGCGACAGGACCATGTATTGCTATCAAAGAAGTAGCCTGTTTGACATTTAAGATGTATAGGCTGGCGGTCAGGTTTTCCATCTTCTCTCTGGACACATATATAATATGCACTGCAAGATTCTTTATCGGCAATGTAGCCAACTAAGGTATTATTGTCGCTGCCGCAAACATCAAGCTCTGGTTCAAGTTCTGGCGCTAAAGGGTGGCAGACCACTTCGTTTCGGGGTACACACTTCAGGGTAGAATAGTTGTATGCTTCGCCTTCGGTACACTCTAAAGAGTCCAGTTGATCTTCTTCGTCACATTTGTAATATTTAGTACAGTCATTGGTATTCGCAAGTAAGATGCCTTTTGGTACAGCTTTACAAATGGGATTGACGTTGGCTACAACTTCTTTTACTACACAATTGTAATCCTTTGAATATACACAGGCTGACTGTTCTGGATTGAATATTAAACCATAAGGACAAGTGGATTGCATTTCTTTTCCATTGTTGCAAAAAACGTAACCACTGCAGTTATCTGGATCCTCCAAGAAGGTACCATCCTCTTTGGTAGCGCAACGATTGCTGGWTTCAGCAGATGCATAAGGACAGACAACATCTTCAATGCTTTCACAACGACCAGTGTCCTTATTGAAATATAAGCCGAAAACACATGAACCTTCTTCGTAATCTTCAGCACCAAACGACGACGGACAGCGAACCCATTTATCACATATGTTAGGGTATAAAATAGTGGTACCCGGGGCAACTTGCTTGCAGATCTCCTCAACGGTTGGTTCGCTTTGTTCAGCGTAGATCGATGAGAAAATGAAGCAGAGCAAAATAGCAAGCGGTGCTGTAAATAAAATACCATTATATTTAGAATATCTTAAATTGTATCCTAGCGTGCCACTAGAGAACATTTAAGGCAGCTTTGTTTCTTTACTAACATTTGAACATTGTTATATGGGCTCGCAAAATTTGGCAATCAGCAATGTTATTTGAATTCTTCGTTCTACAACTTATAATACCGCTACCGCTGTGATGGGTGTTCCCAGATATTTTAGTTGATCAACTGAACAATTTTTTAATGTTACGTTTATATTATACGATTCTGCGGTACTTTTCGGTAGGCAGCCAAAAGTGTTGATAATCGTATCAATAATTGAGACAATAAAATATTTCCTCGATAAAATTGAACATCTTCAATAAAGGAACGAAAACACACCAGATGGTATGAATTTGTAATAGCATTTTTAAGAATTAAAATACGAAATCTTCACAACAAAATACATGACAACGGAAATGAAAAGAGGCAAGTTCGGTATTTTGTATCACATTTCGTTTTGTAGATAAGTTCGACAAACGTTTGTTTATCATTATTGTGAGTCATTTTGTAAGTAATTTTTTTGTGGAGATTTTCACAATATGCACTCTGAGAGAGTAGCGGTTCAGTTCACGAGTATTAATTTACACTTAGGCGCTAATGCTGTTATTTCTAGTTTGAAATTTCGGCATTTTCGTTTTTATTTAACAACGTTTCTTCACGAAATGTGGTATGGCTAATTGCCCAGACCAGTACAATCTCCGAAGAAATTGTTTAGATCGGATGACTGTAGATATCACAAAAACTATTCAATCGGAATAAAGTTCTTATATCGAAACTTTTTTATTTGACAAGGGATTATTATCCAAGCCAATGCACGAATTTCCGAACAAATTGTTCAGATCAGATCACTATAACCTATAGCTTCAAAACGGCCCAACTAAATAATATTTCGTGTATAAAAATTTTTTTATTAGGAAGCATTAGTGCTATGGAAAGCATAAACAGTGAAATCTCTAATAAACTAACATAGGCTGCACCAGCCTTCTTGTCCTATTAAGTGAAGTTGTTCGCTTAATAGATTKTCTTTAGCAAACATCAAAAATGCTGAAACCAGCCCGTGCATAATGGCCGCAGGAGACGTCCTCTTTAAACAGCGTCCGTTTGATAGAGAATTCACTGTACTATTAGTTTTAGTCATAATTTTTCCACCTAAGATTTATTAAGAAACTTATTACTTTTTTACGATCTTGCATGCAATATCCATCTGTGGAAGAAACCATATACATTAGAGTGAGTTGATTGTGTATGCGGAAAATGTTTATTTAAGAGACTATGAATCTGAAACCAGCATTTTTTAAGACGATTAAGATTTATATCAAAGCTTTTGACACTGTATGAGCGATAGCGGCATTCACATATTAATATGAATTTAGAAAATAGTGRAAATATTAGATAAATTTATAATTATCGTAAAATAAATATAAATATAACATTTTTTTACGAACAAGTGATGTTATGAGCAAAGGAAATATTAGCCCTAGCGTTGATAATTGTAAATATTGTTGATGTCCCCCATAAGTATTGCTACTGCTAAAGGATGTCTCAACGAGAAATGTCCTTATTTTTGTAGCAAATGTAGTTGCCTTTAAGATCTACCTCTCCACTAATACACATTTGCAAAACAAACCGACTAATAGAATTGAATCATGCCTTTATTTATTATTTGATATAAATGGTATATAATATTTCAAGTACAAATCGGATACGAGGGAACCGTTGGAACACAAGCCTGGAGAACTTCATCAAAATATGGAGCGTTTGTTGGACAACTCGTGGATGTAGTACTTTGTTGGCCACCACTACAATAATAATATTTTTGGCAACTTGATGAAGGGTCAGTGACAAAACTGAGATTGATGTTTGCACAACGATTTTTCAAACATTTAACTTGGTTAGCCTGGACGCACGTGCTGGATGTACCATCGAAATTAAGCGTGTATGGACATGATCTCCATATACCCGTTCCGGTTGTACTATCACAAGTATAGTAGCCATAACATGTTGAATCATCCGCGAAATACTGGGGTGCAGATGTTTCTCTATATCCCGAGCATATGCTTGTATCAGGTGGAAGTGTATTTGTACTAACAGTAGAGCACGGATTAGTGCTTTGACATTTTCCAGTTAAGGCATTAAAAAAGCCGTTTTTACATGTACCTTCAGTACCCGAACCATCTAGACATCTTAAGTAATTGCCACACGTTTCGGCTCCAGCAAACTCGTTATTTGGAATTAAACGACAAATGGAATCCGCTGGGCAAGTATATGTGTTAACRCATGTGCCTAAAGTCGGATTGAAAAGCTGGTTGTTAGGACATTCCGTACATCCCATTATGGTTTTGTTTTTGCAATAGCAGTATTGCGTACAATCGCTTGGTTGAGCGACTAAAGTATTATCGTCCGAATGCTCACAAATATTCTGTGCGGAAGTACCGCATTGTACTTTACTTGCGTAATTACAAATGCCTTTTTTCGAATCGTATAAAAAGCCATCGCTACAATTTCCTGTAGCTTTCAGTACTCCATCTTCGCAAGCGCCCCAACCTTGGCAGTTAGTTGGATTGGCAATATAACCAGTATAGTAGGCACACGTTTCATTCATTGTGTAAGTGGCTTCAACTACATCCTGATGCAAGATCAATAGACCGAAAAGAGTTAGCAGCATTTTTGCCATATTTATGGTGGCTAGTAAACCTTTAGGAATAAGAGATATAATTGTACTCAGTTTACCTTTGGAAATAAAATTTTCAAATTTTGGTAGATATATAAGTGTTTCTAAACAAACTACAACTACAATAATTGTAAAATTTGTTTATTAACTAATTATTAGCCTTTGGCTATAAGCGACTTGACTCTTAAGCGGTCGTTAGTTCACCAATAACCAAAGTCTTCAACCATATATTTATGTATGTATATATTACCCTTCATTTTTATATTCCTTTCTTTGTTAATTGTGCTGAGTCCTTTCAACTTCTTAAGATGTTGTAAGCCGCCTGATGTCTTGCAGGAACTACCGCCACAACTACTTCTGTGTATTCTTCAACTTGTGTAGGCGAATTTATAGGTGCCACTTCCGCCACAGTGACTCCAGTGTATGTGTATTATTTAATTTAGACATGTTTCTTATCGATAAGTAGTATATATGTAAGTCTCATTTCCTGCAGTTGTATTTTTCCTCCATCCGAAAAAGATACTTACATAGAAATACCTCTTAAGCGTGTTAGCAAAAACGAGATAAGACCGACATAATTGTATTGCGATATTAATGCGCGTTCATGTGGATGAACATTTCTACCTGCACATAATACGCAGCATACATACATACTAGAATTTATTTCGATTGTTTTATTAAAATAGTAAGTCTCTGTCTTTATGCGACTTCCTTAAACTCTAGAATGTATATCCAAGCTATTTCCCTTATTATTATGTAGAATTTTATAATATATTTAAACCTTTTTTGATGCAATAAGTATTAATAAAGTGGTCGTCTTTGTGAACCACATTGCTTTTTCCATTAGGTTGTTTAACATCTTAGGCAGTACGAAAGAATATGAATATGAATATGGTTATGGTTCCAGCAGCCAGGTTCAGTTTTATCCTATTGCAAGTAATGAGGACGGTAGTTGTAATTATAATTTACATTAATTACATTTGTTGCCGGATTTTTCTGTATGATATTAATTGCCACAACTCTGCCAATATCTACTCAAGAGAAACAATGGTCATAAAAGGTCTCGAGAATCGATCATAAAAGGGTGAAGAAAAGTAAATGTTAAAGTTGGCATAAACATGTTTATTCATTGAATTTTCTTCTAGGGACACACTACATTCGATGTTAAATCACAAAGCTCTGCCGTTTGATTCCAATATAAACCCTCTGGGCAAGAGGTCAAAACTGGCATACCGATAATGCATATATAATATTTGCCGCAATCTGTGGCGTGTGGTAAATATATTTGACTGTTTTTGGGACAATTAGGTACATTGMGTTCAGGAATATCTACTGCACCTAATGTGGGTGATGTAGGTAGCCGTTGGGGTTCAGCGAGTATGAATCGTGTTGCCTCGACATTTGACGATACACTTGGACCAGGTGGTTGACTTGTGAGACCAAAGCATGCCTTGCACACTTCACTTATTGGAGTATTGCTAAATAACTGTTCACTGGAAAATAATGTAGAAAGCTCGACTTCCGTATTTAACTGCGCAGAGCTCGTTTGGTAAGCACCTCCAGCATAGCAATCGGTCAAGGGGCGAACTTCGCAAACTTGACGTTTATAGTTCCATCCAGCGCCACGTCCGCATTTGTGTTGCATCATATGACCGAATGCACATATATAATACGAGCTGCAGTCGTTAGGATGTGGTAAAAAATAAGTTCCATAGTGGTTGCATGCCACATTTAGAGGGTCATAATTTATCATGGGATCTACTGGCATTCGCGTATTCACATCAAAAGCATATAGATTGATGCTTTCATCCGGCTCCAACTCTGTTTTTAATAAATTCAACTCGTTTGGCGTCATATAGTCTGATCCAGTGACATCCGAATCAAGTTCTGTTTTCAATAAATTCAATTCCTTTGAAATTGTATAGTCAGATGTAGTGGTTTGACTCTCCGTATGTTTATTCGTTGAAATATTAATCTGAAAAGGTATGAGATATGAACTTAGATTTACTGTCATGAGTAATGATGTTCATTAGTTTCACCTTTTTAAATTGGCAATTTGCGCTTTCTGGCCAATTACAAACTTTGTTATCTGCATCAAAATGGAGACCTTGATCACAATAGCTTATCATTGGTACATTTCCACAAATGAAATATGAATTACAATCGCGTGGATTCGGCACAATTGCGCCATTAGAGACATCACTACAAAGCTATGGAAAAAATAACACATATTAGGATTAATTTTTTATATTTTATTTGTTTACCATTTCGGACAAATCTTCTATGCCGGCGCTTAATCCACATAGGTATGCGATAAATGCCACAAGGCACCACATTTTTAATTTTGACAATTGAAACCTTCAACAGTTCAGTGTGTTGTATAACCACTATTTGCCGGTTTTGCACAAATGAATGATTTTTTATAGAATTCGAAATCGTTTGATGGCCACTCAACTTTTATTTAAGGCGTGGCTTGTCGCACAAGTGCTATCAATTAGCTTTACATAGAAGTTCGTGTTCAATGTTTTATTAATTGTATGACAGACATATTTACATTTTCTAGTATATACGAGTATTCCAGAAAAGAATCTGAAAATATTATGTTACCAATAAACTGATAAAAAAAAAAACACAAAAATAATATCAAATACGCTACTACAGAAAAGTCAACCTTGCCGAATTGTTAATATCAATTGCTGCTTACAAAGGTCGAAAGAAATTAAGGACAAGAATTTTAAATATTGCACACGTTTACATTGCTGGCTGGTGTACTGCTGCGAAGTACGCTTTGAGGCTTAGGGAAGTTGTGTATATGAAGAGACCCGAAGATGAACACGACGAAATTCTCCTCCCCTTCAACTGCATTCCTGACAACTTAGTGCGCAATCACTCTGACAGCAGAGCGGCAATATTAGTGCTGAGCTCGCTAACTGTGCATTCAAAGCTATTCAATGACCGTTTGCCCTTACTAGAAATAGCATCAACCTATTTCAGACTCTCCTGGGTGACTGGCGAGATCGCTGCAAGGCGGACATGATAGCCAGAGGGAACTGAGTTGGATGTCCATTGGTCGACAATCAGCTCCGACTTTTGGTCTAAAGTAGAATGCAGACTACATGACAGATCTACTGAACTACTGGCTCTTAGCAAAGCTCAGCATGCCGCAGTCGTAGCCCAATAGGTATTCATTGCTTTCTTTGCACTCTGGATTTTTACATATGCGTGTATACATAAATTTAAAAAATATGATTATACTATTGGAAAAATTGGACCCAGAAATGTGAAAAGAATATTGCATATTTTTAGGCAAAACTTCATTGCTTTTGTTCTTTGATCATTAATCATTGATCATTTCAAAAACACTATTGTCTCCCTGATAATACATATCTTATCACAAAGTTTAATTACAGTAAAATTAAAGGATTCAAGAATTTCTAATACTTTCATTCCGAATTATTCTCAAATGTGGTCTACATAAAGCTGTAAATATGCAATTGAATCGGATTGGCTTACAATATCGAAATATGTTTCCATACGAACTATGCTTGAAAATTATTGTAACATGATATGACTTCATAGAAAATTTGTATAAAAGAGCACTGTGTTTAAACATATAAAATTTTCAATTTATTTTAGTTTAGAAAATACATTTTATGTTTTTTGTTTTTTTTTTTTTTTGATTTATTTATTATTTTAAGATGTTAGAAATAATTGTTACGAAAATTGTTATATTATAGTACACTATATTGCAAACGCATGAGAATCGTATTACTCCTTTTAGCTAGATATAAATGTACATGAATGTCTTAATTTTCTGATGCTTGTCATGTGGTATCTCTCTATCCAATTGTGGTGGAAATCCAACTCAACTATGTGTAATAACAATAGCACTGTTTTAATGAACCGCTGTTCGATTTTCTCTTCCCTGTGCTTACTCTTTAGCTAGCTTTAAGAGAGAAGAATGTTTACCTATATTGTTATATTTCTCAGTAGACAAAGTTTCAGGCTTACAGTTTCAAAAACTGATCAGCCAACAAGGAGAGATCCCCATTTATTGCCACAATAATTTTAACTTATAATCAGAGTAAAACGGTCGAGCATTGTATGGTGCCGGTGCGTTCTTATTTCTGAAAGAATGCGAATAAACGAATTTGCAAACGAGTGAAGAGCGGCCGTCCGGTTATCGTTGAGAGAAAACAGGGTCTTATTGTTATTTCGAGCAAAAAATTAGTTAATATAACAGAATAAATATTATAAGGTATGCTTTTATATTGTAAATCTGTATGAATATGTGTGGAAATCATGTAATTTCATAAGTGACGTCGAAAAGAGCATTCCATTAGTGCATAAATATAAAAAATAATAAGAAATCGCAGCCATACACATGCATGATAAATCTGTATATGTACGTTTGCTGCATACATGAAACTGTATCGAAGTGAGTGACTTATGCAAGTTAACGTTTAACTATTAAACTTTTCTGTGTACAGAGGCTTCTCGCTAAAGCATACACTATGGAGTATGTAGTGGAAAACTAAAGTAAAAAAAATTAGAATAATCCTACAAGCTTATGTATATGCATACATATGCCAGTGTTATTATTAATTATTGATACAAATATGAATAAAAAGTGATTATATATAAATATATATAAATACATGTGTACTTAGGTATATGTACGTATATACCACATGTATGCTTATATAATGTGATTTGATAATGTCCTTGACAGCCTTATCTGCCCGAAATGAATATATACATATAATATAGTAGTAAATACCTTACTGACTACGTCAATAAAACAAAAGAGTGAATGAAGTGCTTTAAAGTATAGTTTTGGGATAGTGGCAACCTTGTAAGCATATCCCTTTTCAGTAGTTACTCTAAACGAAATTCCACTGTACATACATTACAGTTTGTGCCAAAGCTCTATTGTCAAAGAGGAAAGAGTGCAAATAATTATGAGAGCCTTTCAGTTAAGGTAAATATTAATACTAACATGTGCAAAGAAATATGCGATAACGTTATTAACAGGGCAAGAAAGTGTATAAGTAGTTGTTATATGCAGAGAGCAGAATGAGAAAATTGTTAAAATAGCTATGATAGCTGGCAATGGAAACAATAAATCGACACAACACACACGTATATAGTTAAGTTTAAGTCGTCGGTGGAAAAAAATATTAATCGGAGTGTTAAAAACTGCCTGAACGTGAGTGAACAGAATTATAACTTTAGTTTGATAGTGTGTCTACAACCACACAAGCATACATTAATAGCACTACACTTTTTAAAAAGACAAACAAATTGAAATTCATGCTTTGGAGGAATAAATACGCATTTTCAATTAGATCAGCTGATAAGTTTAAGCTCAAATTATGTGTGTAGAAGTATTAAAGCGCCAGCGATGTCATGGCAAAGAGCTGCAGTATGAATTACTTAAGCGAGTATTTAAGATAATATACAAGTGTATATAGAGAGAGGGGAGACCACAAAGTTGCCAACCTATTGATGGAGATTTAAATATGTGAGTGCTTTGAAAGTTATAACGTCGAAAAAAAGATTTATTGCCATTTTCAAGGCTAAAATTTAATGTTTTTCTTTACCTCAATTGTCTCGTTTTAATTAGATATATTGTATAATTTCTAAAATCTCTGTTTAACACTCTTAAAAAATTCTGGAATAGCAGCTATTATACACATATAGGGTCTACCAATGAGAAGCAACAGATGAAAAAATTAAATAAAACAAAAAATTTTGTGTAAATGGGTTAAATATACGGCGAAACGGTTAATTTATGGGGACGCCATTACGTTTTCTGAACCATACGAGGAATTCACTCGGCCCAATAGCGKCAATTTTGTTTATTAATGAGCCATTAAGACAAAATTGTCCCCATCTGAGAAGATAATATTTCTATGAACGTGGATTTGTGAATTATTCGGAGAACGTGAATAACCTTGCACAATTTCCAAGCGTTCTACTAAAGAAAAATGTGGCACTGGCGAACTGACAAAATTTATCAAAATTCCATAAACAAACATGGCCATTACTAGCAGTCAAAATCGCGTAGTCCTAATAGGTAGATGGCGTACATATAAGTCATACGCAGTGATAGCGGCGATAGGTCCTTGCAAGTTTAGTGAATTCCTTTCGTTCATAAGATTTCAGATTTATTATTTAAATATTCTACTTCGAAACAATGCAGAATTTCTTGCAATGTACCCTATCCACTTACTTTTTCTGAAGTTTTTCTAATGTTTCTAAAGTAACATTGTGGAATTTTATCAAGTTGAGCTACTGGTATAGATAAAGTTGTGGTCGTTAAATCGTTTTGCACAATTTAGGTATTTCTTATTTCCAAAGTACAACGTACATACAGTACATATGGTTTAATGCTTCATTGCTTCAATTAATCAGTTTGATTGGGTTTTTCTTCTTCATATTTAAAAATATTGTATTAAAAACTAACTTCTTGGTTCTGATATCGAATGCATGGAAAATTAACTATGACTAAATATAGACTATATGTAATTTTGCATATGTTTTAGATAAATACATWTTAGTTTATCAAGTGAGAGACTTAAGGGGGTTCATTGGTTGAGTGCATTAACCGTTGTATTTGTTATTAATGCTTCGATCATATCAGGACACTGACTATATCAGAAACAGTTGTGTAGGTTCCCAAAGACATCAGTACCTACTTTTAAATGTACGTAAATGTGCAGACAGTGATATGTATATATGAACCAGAGCAAGGAATTTGAATTATTCGCATTATTGCTGCGAAACCTTTTATGCAATATAAATATTTTCGACTTTCCAGTGGTCTTTATATGTACCTTATGTTTCGGATCATTTGTACTTAATTAATTTGAGGCAAAATAAAATGAATACATTTTCTTGACCATCAGCCTTCTTCATGCCACCCACTTTAGGTATACTTGCTGTCACTGGTGTGTAGATATCATTTCAAGACCCGTGCGATCTTTTTGACTCGTCAATTCGAAGCTAAGTATTTGTGTTCGTTATAATTTTGCTTATTGTGTGTCACTCATTTGACATGGAACATTCGTTTAAAATTGATAAGCAAAAAGTTTTGATTGTTTTACTGCCTCTACTTCTTATACATTTCTCAAAAAAGCTACACAAACGTTTGGAATAGCCAACCAATCGAAAGTCCACCAACGAGAGGAAACAAGAGACACATTAGAACATTTGTTATTTTATTCGCCATATTCATGTTTGTCGTGAAAATATGAGTTCTCAAAGAAAGTGTTGTGACATTGAGTTTTTATCAGTTGAATTAACTAAAAACTGTAGCAAATTATAAGTGGTCAGATTTGTAAACATATGTATTTGCATGCAATCGATTCTATACTTAAAATAATAGTGCGCCTATTGCAAACATCTTTTGATTTATTTATTATATTAATACATTTCAGATAATCAAATCAGATTTATAATCTGATTACAATCTGTGCAAAAACCAGACTAAAGGCAAGCGGTTAGATTTATCATTGTAAGAATGAGTTCCACTAAAGAAATGAAAAACGGCACGAAGACGCAAAAGAAGGCGATTAAGGCTAACAAAAAACAACAACTGAAACAACAGCAACAACAACTTCAAAATCAACAGAATTCAGCAGTTGCGACAGCGGCAACAACATTAGCGCCCCACCCTGCTGCTCAATACAGTGTGAATAAGATAACCGGTAAAACAATCAAGATGACAGTGCCTACAACTACTATTAATAATAACAACAGTAGCGTTAAAAACAACAACAACATTAATCAAAAGCTTCCCGATTCCGCAGTACGAGTAGCGCACGCAACGCCCACCGCTATGCAACAGCCCGTGGTCTCCATTTTAACAGGATATGAAAATGCGCCAAAATTCGAACGATCGAACAGTTTTTCATTGCGTGGCAAACTAACGAAATTGATCAATTCAATTACAGGCAGCAAAGAGAATATTAATAAGCTAGATGATGAGAATGCCACTCCGTACAAGTTCACACGCAGTCGCTCAATGATACTCTTGCGGCGGTCGAATCGTCGTAGTTTAATTGAACCCCAATTGGAACAACTATCTGAGGAGGTTGATCCAACTTCACCATCATCACCTCGTAAAAACTCTGTAGATATAAGTGGACAACCATTTCCTGTACCATCATCGTCCAATAAGTTGGCGGTCAATGTCATTTCTGATAAGAGTGGGACAACTACAATGATTACACCGCAACGACAGAACTCTCAGCCATTGACCTCAACTCCGGTTGAAGAGGGTAGTAATAGTACAGCTTTGCAGCGAAAGCCATCATCCATATCCCTGGCACCAGGTGAGGGGAATGGTGTGCCATTCAATCCAATAGCGAATTTTCAGCGCCGCCGTTCCAACACGTTACTAGCATCTTTTAAGAGCACTATTGCAACAATAACCGGTGAAAAGAAGAAGGAGAAACTTAATCCTAAGTGGAGTGCGTCACTACAATCCTTACAAGCCATAGACAATATGGTAAGCTATGAGAATATGTCCTTCATCGATTACGATAAGTTCAACGGATATGAAAAACAACTAGAACGACAGCTTTCCACGCTAAGTTTGCGCATCGAACAGAATCCGCCTATTACACCAATCAGTAGTACCACAACCGGCACAAACAATAATAAATCGCTTAACGCTCCGGTGACGGTAGTGCGTCGTCGCAAACCGAGTGCCGCTCGTCAACTGGCAGACCGTCGGTGCCATTCGCGCGGTAGTTTTAATTTCGACACCGATTTCGAACATAATTTGGACAAACCGCGGAACGTGTATCGCGATAGTTTAGATTCCAGAAAACTTGAACGATTGAACGACTTTTCTCGCAACTCTTTTATATTGGATAAAGAAATTGTGGATTGGTTGAATTTGGAAGACGGTCGTTTGAGGAAGCAACGCAGAGATAAGAGTAATCACCAAATGAATGTCGACACCGTGGACTCGTCAGCTGTTGCACAGGTAAGTGCATACAAACTGTATAAAAATGTATTCTCAAAACGAGGAGGCTCAGTGACAAATCTGAAAAAAATCTTAAAGCCCATTTATTAGACAAAAAATAAAATCATAATATAAAAACTGTGTAAAATACATATATAAATCTAAAATAATATTGCAAATTATAATTAAAATTTTTCATTTGACAATGAAACTGCCATACAATTTTTTTTTTATTCACAAATTAATTATTTCATTAAAGCTAATGGTAATGTTAATTGTTTGAGCCCGTTCTCACTTAATAGAATCCGTGTTAAGTAAATGGTTTTCTGCATTTTTGTAAAATTAATTTGCACTACAGTAACTATTTGATTATAAAAAGTAAAGATTTTGTATAATGCTGATGAACTTCTGCGTCTAATGTCCAACGCCTGTGTATTCGATATCCTCAGCCTTGGAATAGTGTATGCAAGCCAATACAGTGTCCAATAAATAAAGGGCACCTTCAATTACACACAACGCACCCATTGCGATGCCCGTCTGACGCTCAGCATTTACATAGAGAAAGTCCTGGTCAGACATATAGCCGCCCCAATAATGTAAAGCCACACCGCCAATGGCAATCCACATGGCTGTGCCGACCATATTCATCAGTGTGTCTGTTAGCTCACTTTAAAAACATAAATAATCCATGTTATCATTTATTTACAAAAAATATTTATATGTTTATTTAAAGCAAATACAAACCGTTTATGCTTGGTGGTGCCGAAGAAGAAGGCCACTGTGTGCACAGTGGTATAGATTAGAAATCCTACAAATATACCAGAGGCTACGATTTCCGGTGAAGGGCTCTTTTCTTCATTTAAATTCCATGTTCCACTAACGCCCAAAAAAATGCCCTCATCTCCAATACAGTAGAGGATAAGAATAATAATGTTGATAGTCTGCCAAAAATAGTAAACAATTTATTAGAGTAATATATATATGTAGATAGCCGATATATCAGAATTTATTTGCTATATGCTGTCTGAACCTATTGGAAAATATAAATTTTTAGATTGGGCAGGTAGATGCGTCAATTTCATTTTAAAAAACATGCTTAATSAATTTGTTGTAAAAGAACAGGTCTATAAACAGAAATATTAAAATGTTTTCATAATAACAGTAGAAATCTACAAAAGAATACGCACATAGTAATATACCTTTAGTACATATGAAATATATACTCAAAGCATTGAGGGAAATCAACTGAATATCAAACTAATGATTATAGATAACGTTCGTATGACGTCATCTTTGTTGAATACTGACTAATTCAGGTTAAAAATACTGYAATRCCATTTTAAAGAATCGGAGGTTTGAAAAATATTAGAGCCTTTAAACCTACTAGGTATAACTATTTTCCTAACAGTTTGTTAAGCTTTTCTTATGTTTTCTTATTAAATTTTGCTTTTTCTTAAAAAAGCCAATACTCTTGTCCTTACCAATTTCAGAGTTTTGATAAATATCGATCCAATCGTTTCCACAGACACCATTTTTTTCGCTTAATTGTTCTTCACTTTTCAAAGAATTTTAAATAAATTAAAATAAAAGCTACAAAAAGACTTTGCTTTTGTCTAGGAGCACTTTTATTAATTAAGTAAGAACAAAACTTTTGATATCCGTTCGATTTCGTTTTGTCGTTGTTCGTTGACTAAATTGTATTTCGATCGTTCGTAMACACAACAGCGAGCTCTAATGTGAAGCACCACACAATGAAAGATTTTTACTCGAAGCTTTTGCAACTATCCTGATAAGATAACAGTAAATGGAATGTTAGAGCAGAGAGTCACCAGAAAACGCCGAGATAGGCAAGACATTTTTTAACGTGATTGTGAAATAATATTTCATTGGGTTTTGTGTAAACATTGCCTTGTTTACTTGGATAAAAAAATACTTGACTGCGATAAGCTTTTTCCTCGTTTTCTTGTACAGGTGTATGTTCTGCCTATTTGGACTGTGATGATTTCACTTTAAGTTCGTTATATGCAGGGAATATGTTTTACATATTTATGTTCCGATTATACGTCTATTCAACAGTCTCTCTGTTCGTCTAGGTATCTTCACAGAACTCAATAATCAAATTTGCCCAATATGGTTGCACTGAACGCCAAGCCAGAGCTGAGTGCCTTATCTAAATGGATTTTTACTCAAGCATCTTTAAACTAACTTTGAATTTTTTTTTCTTACTTAATTTAACATTTTTGTACTTATTTTGAAAAATTTTATGATAATTGTTTAATTTTTTCCCCAAAATAAATTCTCTGCACTAATAAATATATAAATAATTTGTGCACAACAAAATGTGTAAAACAACTGTTTTCAGAAATATCTTCCTTATGTATTTTATTTTTCAATATACAMATGTATACATATTTATTTCCAAAAAATAGTATTTAAAATATAATTCGTGTATACTTGCTAAAAGTTATATAATATATAGTACATATTTTGAATATGAAAGTTTTTAAGTTTCGTGAAGTAGCGTCTTATTTACTCCAACGTATACTGTCTTATGACGGCATACTCTGTGAGGCCTTTATAGTATAGAGTGCATCCCAAAATAGTATCCACTATATAAAGAGCACCCTGAGAAACGCACAATGCGCCCATTGTTAAACCAACAGTACGTTCACTGCTGGCATATGCAAAACTACCATCGGTCATGTAACCAAACCAGAAGTGTATTGATATCCCACCTACTGTTATCCACAATACGGCTCCAATTGTATTCATAAGAATATCAGTCAAGTCTCTATAGAAAATATACATATATACAGGTATAAAGAAATATATTGGAAAAAATAATTTAAAGAGCAATTACGCACCGCTTATTTGTGTTATCTCCAAAACAGTATCCAATAATAACTACGGCTGTATATATAACAAATCCAACAAAGATACCAGAAGCAAGCATTTCAAGGGAAGCATTATGCCTTTCCTGTAAATTCCAATTGCCACCGATACCTAAGAAATCGCCGCCGTTCCCCGTGCGGTATAAGACTAGTACGCCGATGTTGTTGAGCTAAAAATGCAGAGTTGAGCTTTTGATTTGAGAGAGATAATTTAAATCTGTCGCTGTTGTAAACTCGGCTATAGCCGCATAAGTGGTGTCTACGCTTTATAAAGAAGAATAATTTATTTATTGTGCCAAGGTAGCGAAAAATTTTTTTAAACGATCGGTTTAATAACCACAATACCATAAATAGCATTTATCACATATTTACAAATGTGTACTATATATTTGTTTACCGCAAGCGATCTCTAAATTATCAGTACGCTTTTGTTAGTTTACCAGTTTCAGTATTTTTAAGCATATAGACGCCATTGTCTCGTAAGAAACCATTTTTGAACGATCCATTTCGCAAATAACCAGAAAATTCTTTACTTTTTACGCAAGCTTTCGAAGTTCCTCCTTATCAAGGCGTTGCCTTTTATCGCGTTCACTTCGTATATGGGCAGCCATCGACTAAACGCTCTACTCGTGTTAGCAAAAGTATCGTCACCGTTAAATGTGTACGAACGATAACTTGTGAAAAAGCGTCGTGTATGCATTGTTGATTTGTTGTTTGCCCGCTTCGATTAGATAAAAAATACATACAAGACAAAATAATAATACCTTTCACACAACGTTCATATACATGCATTAGGTTGTCCAAAAAGTCTTGCSGTATTTCTTGCGGTATTTTTATTGAATTTTCAATTGTTCATAAAATTTTTTTTTGATGACTCATGCCCAGCTCTTGACCGATGCTACGGCTGCTACTATTCAGCGATTTTATCGCAATTTTCGACGACAGGCCTTCCGGAGCGTGCGYATCTTCGACCATCTCTACACCAGAACGACAACGTTGGAACCATCGTTGTGCGGTAGAAATGGAAATTGTATCGGGTCCATAAAGTGCACAAATTTTATTGGCGGCTTGAGATGCATTTTTGCTTTTATCGTAGTAGTACTGTAAAATATGCCGTATTTTCTCTTTATTTTSCTCCATGCTTGCGACGCTATAACTCACGAACGACTTAAAAGAAACGACAATCAAACACCTGTTAGCGCGTGAAATGAGCTTTCCAAAAAGGTATAGCATGACCCGATGCTCCGAATAAAACTAGAACTACGCGCTCTCAACGCCAAGTAGCGAAAATACCGCAAGACTTTTTTGACGAACTAATAAATATATATATATATATACACAGATGTGGTGATTGTTTGTTCTCTGTAAATATGTACATATTTTTAAGATACATAGATAGTAAATTGTCCATACACATTTCAGACTTCGGTTGAAAAATTTCATAGGACTTTGAAAATGATGTTTCGGTTATTAATAGTTCAAAGCATACTTAAAACATTACTCAGATTATATTGCGGGCAGTGAAGTCCAATACGAAATGCTCGCCTCAAATTGATCGAACAGTTTTAGCAGCCGCAAATAAATTAATAAATTCAACAAGTTTTGAATATAACTAGCATGAACATATATATGTACATACATACGTACCAAATAAACACATGACAGTTGTAGAGAACGCGAATTACCATGGCTCAATTGAAATTTGTCGCCGCCGCTAAACGAGCTAAAGTGTCGATATTTTCAAAGCAATTCCAACCATTAGCATACTAAAACTGCGGGCAATACGACTCTATAAAAACAAATTATGACGGATTTCTCTTCCAGCGTCTGCATACATAGGAACTGTCTATATATACATATGTAAAGCTGTCCGTGTTTGTGTTAAGAGCGTTGGAGGCGAATTTTTACATACTACATACAGCCATTAAATATTGATTTCAATTACCTTGTCGGTTAAAATATGCATGCCAGTATTCGTATTGAAGGGGTATAAAATCTAGACTTAACGGTATTCATAAAATCACAAATMTTTCATAGAAACACTAGCTTAGTACACTTACTTGCACAATTACCGGTGTTCCAGAGAGGTTATAAGCTTATAAGTGTGTAGTTTCTGTTTTGGATTTATTAAAATAATATGTATTTGAAATGTTTGGCAAAAAAGTAAAAAAAAATCTATTGTACAGATTATGGAATACCGGAAACGCAAGCCTCACAGGTTGCTTGTACTGTTACGTAATAGTTGTTAATTGCTATAGATGAGAGCTACAATGAACTTAAAGAAAAGGTCTTGACATTTCAGTATTCCGATTCGAAATATTTAAAGAAAAAATATAATAATTAATTATATATTGGTATAGACATCGATATCTTTAGATATTTTTTCAAATTTGTCGGTTTTGTACAAGTTTGTTGTCACCAAATAATTCATTATTGTACAAATGTGTTTTTGAAATTAGTTTGGCCGCACTAACGTGCCACACCAGTATAGTCAGTATCGCCCTTCGAGTAGTGCAGGCAACTMATTACGGTGTCCACCAAATATAAAGCTGCCTCGAGTATACAGAGCGATCCCATTATAATGCCAACCAGCTTGTCACTACCCGCACTAACTGGCACATGCTGAATTCCCAAATAGGAGTAGTCGCTTGTGTCCATGTAACCGACCCAGTAGTGCAGTGCAATGCCACCAACTAGGGCCCACAAGAAGGTGCCCACCACATTCATCATGGTGTCTGTGAGTTCACTGCAAATAAATGTTAAATAAGATTGTTGTTTTTGCATACGATTTTTAAACATACTGTTTGTACTTGTTGGGTCCAAAGAAGTAAGCAATTGTGTGTACGCCCGTATAAACAATGAATCCAATGAAAACGCCGGAAGCGAATATTTCACAACCTGCGCTCTTCTCTTCCCAAAGATTCCATGTGCCACCCACTCCCAGAAAGTAGCCTCCAGCGCCAACACGATAAATTATAAGTATAGATAAATTAAGAATCTGCAAATGGAGCAAAGTTTTAAAAGAAAAACACAAATAATGCTTTTTTATATAGTTTTCTAAGATTAAGAATATTTTAGTATAGCTAAACATGTTTAGATTTTAACCACTCCCTAGTTGGTTGTAAATGTGGTTATATACATATATGACGAGCGAGCTGTAAGGAACGCCTAGGCAAAAGCATATCGAAATTYAGCAGAATGCTTGCGTTATGTTTATGAGTAAACCCTTCCATGTTTCCCAACATGGAAAAAGCTTTTGGTCGCCTGATAAGCAGTAATCAGTAATTCAAGGAGAGTAAACCACACCAGTATAAAAACTTTTTCGAAAATATGTAGATTTATTTTACTTCAGTCATATTTTTATTTTGTATAAACACTTTTTCAAAAATATTTCGATTTTACTATAATCATATTTTCATTAAAATTTTAATAACTATCTTTATTTTTATTTTTTTTTTTTTTTTTTTTATTTTTTTTTTTTTTTTTTTTTTTTTTTTTTTTTTTTTTTTTTTTTTAATTTTTTCTATTGTTATATATTCTCATACATCACAGCTATGCGATGTATGCCTAAGTAATAGAAACACTGATTTCTTTTTCGTTTAACTAAAATTGAACACGTCTCGATTCTTCGTAATTCTGTACAAAACTTATTGCTGTAAGCCGAAACGTACCAATTTCAATGCTTTAATCACAATTGAAAATATCCAAATCAATGACCACTCCATTTTAAAAAACAGTTAATTGGTTTTGCAGAAAGTCAATAAACGCCTTTTAAAAGATACTTTTGTTCGTTTGCGCTCGTATGTAGTCGTTCGTTAACTAAAATTGAAACGATTTTAAACCTCGAAAAAGCAAGTAACAGGAAAGTAATGAGCTTTTGTAATCGCAGTGATAAGATAAAACGATGTCACATCGGTATTTGTGTAACAAGTGCCGCTTTCAGGTGGCCATAATGTTATCATGCAGTTATGTGTGCAATAACCTCATATTTATTTCTTTTACTATGCAATGAGCAATGCTTGGCGCCTCACGACTTTATTTGTTTGGTTGTTGAATGTATGAATATATTTCCTGCAATGCATAAATTCTTAGAACATCTTGGGAATCATTAATGTACAAAGTAATCGAATATTTTTTGCTCCAAGTAAAATTTTATGCGTGAAAGAGATTAATTATATATGAAAGGCATAAAATTTTATTTGGAGCAAAAAATATTCGAATATTTTGTACATTAATGATCACTATTTCATTATCATATGTAGTTAATATTGCGTCATTATGAGTCATTGGAAGTCAAGTTCAGCATAATACTTATGTGGAACTATTGTCCTCAGTTATCATATGAGCATATTTTGGCTGTGGTAATTGTAACGTAAATCTATAAAAACTACTTGTATTCTGAAATTTTTTATTTTGCAACTCTAYAACAATTTAAGCTTAATTTTAAAGCTTACTCTTCAAATATACGTCTCTTAATTAATAAATATCGTCAATCAAATAAGTATGTTTTCAAGCAACCACTTTCAGAGTTTTTATTGTTGTGATGACATTATTGAGTGTACGTTGTGGCATAGTACATATATACCTACATACGTCTATTACTTTATTACTACTTTTTTTTAATTTTGATCGTTAGTAGCGTGYTGCCATGGTACAGGCTAATTTCTCAGAGCGTGCTTAATGGCACGCTTGGTTAGTTGATAGCAGTGCCTGAGTAGAGTCTCWAAAGCGGTGAAAAGGCTTGTTTTTACGTAGGCACGTATGTATGCAAGTGTATGYATATTTACTCGCACGTAATCTAAATTCACGAGTAGGAACATGTGTCTGTTAAGCCATTTCGGCTTGGCTGTGTAGGTGATGAGTCATTTCATATCGAGCGCCTGCATATAATGAGAATAATTACAAATTATATTAGTTGTATTTGTTATTTTATTACCAAATTATTTTGAAAATCAGCAGATTTGCCGAAAATTAGATATAAATTCGGTACAATGTAAACACCAAAAATTGGTATTGCTGATGAGTCAGGAGCGTATACGTATACATATACATATGTTTTTGTGTATATATAGTGAAGTTTTATATTTTTGCATAGCAATTACTTTTTGCAATATTTATTGAAAATGATAAATCGCTTCCGTTGTCATTCCAAACTTCAAATGTTTATATTGACGCGGCGGTTTTGGTGCCATTCACATCACCTACGCTCTTTAATAATTCTCTTCAACATACAAAGTACGTACATATGTATGTATATACGCACAGTGGAAAACTTTGAAGAATATTTACTAAGTTCTTTTAAGGTTTCATTTACCGATGTAAAGAAACTATTTCAGTATTATTTAAATTGTTGATTTTTATTAAAAAAAAAAAATGTTTTTTCATTTAACCTGAAAAAATGTACATTCCCGCTAATGTACACCTACTTGTACCCCTGAATACGCGTTGGCAGCAGCAAATATTTCTATTTTTTTTACGTAATGCAAAATTTAAACAGAAATCCCCCTGAGATTTGTTTCTCCATACGCCGCTGCATACTCGTATTAATTCATTTTATATTTCTTCAAATGTTCCCGCTTAAATTCAAGTTAACGTATTCAGCGCGCGTGTGTGTTGACAAACGTTTCGTGAGCGTGAGTCATTTTATTGGCGTGCTTCGCCAAGTTTTGCTGTCATACTTTATTTCTGGCTTTGCTTGCTCAATTACATTAATTACACACTCGCAACATCTTTCATAAAGTATAACAATTTTGTTTACATTCACGACTCAGATAAAAAGTTATACAAATATCTAAATATATTAAAGACACGTTCCGTTAATCTCTTATCTCTACAAACTCGATAAAACTGTGTCCTCGGCAACAAGCTTTTACATTTATTGCTCCAATTACCATATTAAAATTGATCAAATTCGGATAACAGAAGATACAATTTAGACAAATATGTGTTCTACTGTTCGCTCTTCCAGTTGATTTCGCAATTCTTTCTTGTGCAAGACGAAATATGTGTGAATAAAATTTGGTAAAAAAGCTACCTTGCACCTAGTTAGGTACCCTCCCCAGTCACACAAGAGAACCTACCATATATACTTTTGGCATCATAAGTCTCTACTCTTCTTTGAACTTGCAATATTGGAAGTTACGTTACGACAGAATTTTTTCCTGCCTTACTTGCTGATGTTATTTTCTTATTATATACAGTACAAAAAATATTTAATCTTCTCTGTTTCCTTTTGTTCACTTTTCCCCGATTTTGTTTTGATTCTCCATTCGCATGACTGTGTCTTTTCAGATTGCGCCACACCGCATCGCTAGTGTATTTTTGTTTTCATTATTTCGTCATTCTCGCTATTCATATATGCATTGTTGTTGTTGAGACGTAAGCTTTTGTGAATGAAAGCCGCATGTGTTTACACACGAGCACATTGCACGAGAACTTAACAAGGGTAAGCGCGCTCTAGAACTAGCATAGAGAAGCGTTAAAGAGAGTTAAATACGAAAACGCAGATTATGTTTCTTTTGCATAAGTAAATTACAGCCAAGAGTGTTAGAATACAATATTACGCTTTCCACAGACCACTCATAATTTTTGGCAATCATCTGTATGAGTTGACTATGTCATACTCTCAAACATTCATATATCATATATAAGCATATACCCTGAACAAGATAGATAAAGCTGGCTGACTGACCAAACTGAGCGGTTGGAATCAAATGTATGTATGGCAAACTTTTTCACTAAATAAGCAATGTAAATTCAAATCTGTCGTACTGTGTACTGCCGACGTACYGTCAGTTTTTATAGTAATTAAACATGTGTCAATACAGGTAACTGGGATACTATGACCTACAAAATATATATATACATAATATATACATACATATGATATGTACGAAGCACGAGAAGTATACTTTGCTATTACTAGGTACCAGTGATCATATGATGGAATCTGTGACMTGAATGGAGCAAATTTAATTTTCATACTTTTTGATAGCGAGACGGCGAATTACTAAAACATAAATTATTTCACTTAATTTTCTAACTACCATGCGTTCTTGGATGGTGTTGACGTCAGAAGGTGTTTTAGTAAACACTTGTTTTAATAATTTCCTACTTTTTTAGTTAGTAAATATTCCAGCGGATATTATTTTATTTTAACTAGAATAACCAACAAAGACAAATGGGGAAATATGGGGCATTTAACACGTAAACAATAAATATGTATGCTTTAATTTATTAATTTCTATGTTTTTCGAGGAGGTATATATTACATAATAACTTCACTTTCATAGAAACTTTTTATTTCTCATGCTCAGTGCGTACCAGTTCTACTACACTCTCTTTGCCACCGCTGGTTCTGTTCGGTTCGATTAATTTAAATATATGAATGTTAGTGGTTTTCGTCCTTACGTTCGTCCTTTTTAACCAACAAGGCATGAAATGAGTGTTCAGTTCGAACCAAACCGTTGCGCTGAGCGGATGTGGTCGGCTCTTAGTCTAGCCACACGAAGCATTCAAGCGGAAACAGTGCACAGCGCGGGCAGGAGAAACGTTTATTCTCACAGCTTCCCGCAATCGTTGCTCCCCAATACGTTAATGTCACAGTGTGCTGTGTGTGTAAATTAATTTTTCTTCGTATTGCTGTTTTTGTGGCGCCCACATACACAAAAAAATTAAATAGCAGTACGTACGTTCGCCAGCGATTTCGCTTATACCATTTATTTAATCGTCGCTAACTTTAACGCCAATACTTGTGTAAATATGTGTGTATCAGTGGAGTGCAACTTTCAATTGTTGTGTTTTAGAAGAAAATAAATTCGGGCTGCTAACGAGGTATGAGAAAGCGTACACTATAGGAACAATGAMTGTTTGTGTGGCATACCAATAGGCGCCTTGGCGAGTATGAGCTAAAAGCTGTCTCGAATGCAATTGTTTTTATGTGAGCTAAATATGATTAAAAGTTAAGTTTGTAGCCGTTATTATATAATGTAAGTATTAAAATAATAAAATGAAACGAAAATTCATACTTATGAATGTATTTACATAACAACTTTAAAATGTAAGTACAAAGTTCAAAAAAGGGGAAATCAATAACGCAAAAGTAAACCTTRGAATATCGGCTAAACTTAGCATAGAGCACGTGCTATTTATCACTCAGCACAGATAAGATAAGCACATTTATAACAACAATCTGTATTCATTTAAAGCATCGCCCGATTCGTTTACTTTTTTGAAATGTCTTTGGGTTGGTTCATGTTCAACTAAAAAGTAATATATTTTTTGGGTTTATTTTATAATAAATTAAAAAAATTTTTCGTCATTCAACTTTATTTAGTTGTAAACAATTCGAAATGCAATCGCCATGCTCTTAATGCTTTAACAATTTCACCTTAATTATTTTAATACTTACAAAACAATTTCTATGAGGCATAACAATATATACTGAATAGAATTGTATGAAACAGATATGCAAATAATATAAAGAATTAGTAAATGATAGTGAATGGTAAAATAAGCACAAGTTTACGCGAATATTTTCCCGCCAAAACAAGCGAAAGTTTGGTGACCTGAATATAATCCATTTGACATTTGTTGAGGAGACAGTCTATCCGTTGATCCGTTGATGACTGAATTGCGAACATTTAAAAAGATTAAACGCTTGTAAGCATTTATGTGAAAAAATTGCTAAGGTCGCCTAAAGTTATTTTCAAATATGAATTATAGAGACAAGAGACAAAACCACAACAACAAAAATTTGAAATACATATTTAAGGGATCTCCATAAAGATGGAAAAAGCTACTAAAAATTATAATGCGTTTATATTATTGGGG